GCAGCCATGACACACAGTTTGCAACCATTTTTTTCCTAGGATCCTTCTATTCTTCCCATGCCGATTTATTATCAATTAGAATGGGTTTAAAAAGCAGAAATCAAAATAGCTGAACGCTATGAACATCTTTTTCCTTGCACAGGGGCTTAGTTCCACGCAGGCAGAAGCTGCAGTGAAACACAGGCAGAGAACAGCTGTAGTTGTGTCCAAATGTACCACTTACGACCTACCCTCTTTAACAGAAAAATGGCATTTTACCCTAGAAGTGAGAATAGCACAAACCATGGAACCAAAACGCAGGTTTAAGAGCAAAAACGGTCTTCCAGGACAAACCCTGACATTGCTGCCTGTGCAACCGGGGATATTTTCCCATTTAGAAACTTGCAAGGGCCACCAAAACTGCCTTCCCTGCTCTCTAGAGGGGCAGATTGCCCCATGCCCTCTGTCTCTTGCTGAGGTATGTGAGAGGGCAGGTTGTCACCACTTTTCCAAAATCGTAGATGGCTGGGCTGGAAAGATAGGAGTCTGTCTCCAGAGTAAGGGAAGTGACTCACAGCTGAACTGGGAGAAGTTTGGGGACACAAAAGGCAGCGATTGTGTCCTTTGGAGCCACAAGGAAACAGGAGGAGGAAGGTCCCTCACATCTGAAACAAAGCACAGATTTCATCCTCCTCCTCGTGGTCTGTGGTGAAGGACAGCGATGGCTGGGTCAGGACTGCCAGTGCTGCCATGCGTATGTCCCTCTCTCCTCATCTTCTCCACAGCTGTGTTCACCTGATGGACTGCATGGCCCCGCTCTGGCTGCGGGTACCAGCGAGAACATGAGGAAGGTGTGTATCTCATGGTTTCTGCACTCCCACCTCAGCAGTGAAGCCGCTGGCGCTCTCTCGTTTAAACTACAGCATCGTAAACAGCGGGCGCCACTTGCAAAACAGAGCAACGTACAGAAGAGTCTCATTCACATGCATAAGCTCCCTTGAGGTAGCAGAAAGAGCAGCTTTCCCAGGTCTCAGACATCTGATGTGTCTGTAGAAGTCCCAGAGCCACGGAGATGATCTACACCAAAAGCACTACAAATTGTCACGTTGCTCAATAGCACCTTAGTTCCAGCTTTGCCTTATTCCAAACCCTGATATATACTTTGTCGCATACCCTAACACTTACACATGAGCTGTCATGGAATCGGATCAAAGAGAAGGTCCACACCCAAGAAATACCTTGCCAGATTATTTTCCTCCCTCCACCTACAGGAACCTCATCTGAAGAACCTTCTTTATATGCAGGTGTTACAGAAACACAACAGCTCAGATGCATAGCAGAAGGATGCAACCATGGCTTAGGCCAGTCAACCAAAGCCAGCTTCCAGTCTCTCTCCCCAGCACTGTAACAACAGCAGTAAAGATGAGCCAGCCTGAGCTTTTAGGGTATGTTCTCAATCAGAATATGTACCCACTATCACAGCAGGCTGCCCCCTTGCTTAGCACCTGCCGAACCTGTGCTACTGTGTCTTTATGGCTATTGTTCCCAATGCTAATTACAGCTAGCCCTAGGTTTGCCTGCACATGTCGCAAACATTTTACTATGTGGGCAAGCCCGGAGGTCCCAAGCCTGTCAGAAGTCCGAATGGAGTCCTCCACTACAGAAGCAATCAGAAAGCTGGTACGACCATCTCAGGGCATGCAGCAGTTCATTCTGAGAGGAAAGCTGCCTAGTAAATGAGGCAGTGAATCCTGTACAGCTGCAGATGCTTGGCTGATTGTCAATGGAGCTCTGAGCAAAAACACAAATGGAAGGACTCCCAGAAATCAGGATACTGCAGTCAGTGAAAGTGAACTTGCATAGATGTACAAAAGGAACTTTACATTAAATTTCCACGCATGCAGAGCTTTGCTGTCCAAGTGCATGCTTTGTGTGCACTTGCCACAAATTTTCTGACTTGTTTACATCCACTTTTATAGTATCTCGGACCATATCATTTGACCCAGGTTGTTACAACTGAGCTCTAAACCACTTGAATTAAGAATTTCTACAGGAAACTTGAAGAGGTTTAGAAGCATCAAAGAAACATGCAGATGCAGACTTTATTAAAGCTACTTAGCAGGAAAGAATTGCCAGAAAGTATCTTTGTGCTAACGTCAGCCAATTTTTCTAAATTAATTTGAAACAATTCATCATCCATCCTCCTCACCTCCTTCCAATTTACAGCAGTCATTGTAAACATTGCTAGGACAGCACAAGCAGATGATAGAACACTTTCCTTTTAAGAAAGACGGCCGCGTAACTTCATACCTCTATAAACTTCACCATATTTGGTAAAGATTCAGTAAAGGTTGCATTCTGTGACCGCTACAGGAACAGTAGTCGTCGTTTCTGTATACTTTGAAGAGCTAAGAAAATGAACCCACCACCTAAAAGCACATACAAAGCAAGTACCTTACAGTAAGCTAATCTCAATTTTTTAAAATTCATTATTAATATATTATTAAACTTCAGAAGCAATCAGGCAGGCATGATGGTTTTGTGCTCCAGTGTCTTTTGTAACAGTTGCACTTATTTGGCATCTCAGCTTGTCTCTGAATATGACCAAAATAGGGATTTTGTTCGATATGAAAGAATATGGCACACAAAGCACCAAAGAGATAAAAGCCTTGTACCAATCTCTTCTAGTACAAATGTAAAGGATGCTGGGCAAGCTCCTTTGAACAGATCAGTTGCACTTGTAAACGCAGACAAATCTCTCGGCATATGCAGGGCAAAACTCAAAAATTTCAGCCAGTTAAACAAGGCTCCCCAGCCAGAAACATTAAATTCTGAAACGCAGCCATTTACAAGACACCTTTTCCAGCTGAAGAACAAGGTGCAGTACCACAAGATGTTGGTGAGTAACATGTCTGTACACGCAGTGTGTTAAGAATCCTATTTTCTCTGCTCTTCTGGAAACACAAGTATCACAAGCCTGCAATGGCAGAAAACTCTGCAAAGAAAAATTTCAGAGACTTAAGAGAACCTCAAAGAGACCAAAGAAAATGAGGACAAATTTCAAGACATCAGTAATTCTGGAGACTATTTTTAACATAAAAAGAATAGAGAGACTAGAACTCTATTTAGCTGTTTTATAAAAGCCATAGCAGCAGTGGTTGGGATTTGCTAGTTGTTTTGGTAAGCAGATGAGGCGGCCAATACAATGTGTTTAATAACTGGAGCTCCAAGTATAGAGAACGTATGTGCACACAGCTTTTTTTTTTTTTTTAATGCAACCAATTTAAGTTGGTTAAGGTACAAGCAAACTTTACATTTATGACAGAATAAAATGTTACAAGGAATAAAGCACATGACCAAAACCTAACATAGCAGACTCTGGAGAAGACCATCTGCCTAGGTTTCAAACATTCATTGAGCCAAGCAAAGAACTCTGTCAAGCTGAAACATCTTTTCATGTGAAAAGAATTTGCAGCTTTAGGGTCTGCACTGAAAAAAACCTGCTCAAAAGCCTCTGTAACGTGGACTGATGTTTTTGAGGATAAAAATTGTTTTCTGTCTCATTCCACCCTTTATTAGAAGAAGCTGATGTGAAAAATTCTGGAGCTGATTTAGCTTGAGTCAGTAGCTAAAGGCAACTCAAAACCTCCCAGAACAGGGCTTCCTCAGCAGCTGTATGAGCTGCACACCCAGATCTGAACAGGAGTGCAATTAATCTGAGATTTGCGGTGGGAAAGCAAGCAGGTTGCACAAGGGAAAAACATGAAGAGGTTCTCTTCACTCTGTAACACTTGGGTGTGAGAGTCCAATGCACCGGAAGTGTTCAAGCTGTCTTCTGGCATTTGAACAGTTTCTTCAAGTTGTATGATTGCTAATGAATGCTAAGATAACTCACTAAATTCTTCATTAATTCTGTTTGTTTCAGAGATGGCAATTATTTCAGAATCATGATTGGAAATAAACCAGTGCCAGTTTTCCAGCTTTTCTAACCATGATGACACACAGCTGTAGTTACTCTGACTCTTTGGAATCGAGAGTGAGAAAAATCTAGCCTTCCCCTTGTCTTACCCTCCCCAAAAAGTATTTGTTTGCATAATAAATATTTAGATTTACAGTAGTTAGAAGCAAACTCATAGACTAATGAATAATAATAATTAAAAAAAAAAATCAAGCTGATATTTTATTACATTGAAATTTCTTACTGATTGGCAGCAATCATTAACTGAAGTATAATAGGCTGGTAAAGTTGGACAGCTTGCATAGGTATTTTTAAACAAAGGAACTGAGAAAGGTGGCATAGATAACAATTTTAACCACAGAAATAATTTTCACCTGAAAATAAGGTCAGTACAAAAATAATTAACACATTTACATTCATTTCTCCAAGGCCACCTCTTCATGAACAGAAGGGAGCAAAGATGACAGTATATAGCAATAATACAGTTTAAATTCTCTCACATCTATTCCAAACAGGAACTAGAAAATTTATTTAGCTTCTATTTCCTTAAAAAGTGTTCCAGCCTCAGATCAGGGAGAGGAAGCGAACCAGTCAAAATTTAAGCCATCAAATCCAACACTCTACCATGCTACTCTTGAAAAAACATAGACATTTATAAAAATAAGGCTAACAAACTAACTGTACAGCCTGTGGTCCCGATTCTAACACTTAAACAAACAGGATGTAGATAAAATTATGGTCTATAAGGTGAGACTGGCCACAGGCAAGAGTTGGGCCGTATGTTCAATTTATATACCTGGGATCTAAGCTTCTCTTTATAAGAAGATCAGCTAGGCAAATCTGAGATAACTGGCATTTACTATTTTTATCTGTTCAAATACCACATGAAAAAGTAAAGACAGACAATGACATTTTGTGACAGAAAAATTAATACAAGAGCCAATTCAGAAAAAACTAACAACTAAAACCCCCAAAAGTAAGACCAGCCTACTAATTAGGCAACAAATTATACACCTAGACTGGAGAGACTTAGTCATCACCCATTAGAAACAGAATATGCAAAGGCTTAAAAATTTATTTTATCATACACAATATATTGCAGCGGATATCCATAAACTCTAGCTGTTCATCAGCGTGACAGAGGACATCAGATTATAAATCTAGTAATTCAAGATATAGATGTGTTTTTGAAGTGGTATTTCTGAACCTTTGTAAATAGATGAACAAGCTTCCATTCTTGTGAGCAGCTCTGATGACAAGGTGTTAGTGTAATGAAGTATCTTCATTTACATTTCCTCAAGGCTCCTCTTGATAGCTTCTTCCAGTTCTGCATCTTGCTCTGTATAAACACAAAAAACCCAATTATAATCTCAAACTATGGTTGATAACTAGTCATAAACACAACTACATTAATATTACTACATAAAACAAGTAGTTACTTCTGTGGGCAACGTCAGTAAACTGCAAGAAAAAAAAAGGTAAATAAAGAGAATGAAAGTATTTTCCCTCCTTCTGTCTTATGCTATCTTTCGAATACTTCAAAGTGAAGGAACAACCTCTACAGCCTTCCACTGTAGTAACTAGGGGAAGCCCAATTATTAATTTAAGAGTATAACACAACTATATATTTACTGGTCAAAATAATAATAAGATTGGAACCCATATACATGCACCAAGAAAAATAAATAAATACTAAACCAAAAAAAGACAGACACACAAAACAAGCAGAGAGGTTTCAGTATTTTCATTCCAGTTCCTTATCAATAGATATTCCCGTATCTACATTCTAACTTGCCACCACTGTTATCACTCATACTAGGAAGGCCAGATGTAAGTAGAGAAAAAGTTGTATCAACAGTCAGAATAGTCTAGATCAGGGCTGTGACAGTTTTTATGGTGGGGGGAAGACTGCATTGCATTCATCTGACTTGTTAACAACCTCCCTTGAACACCTTTCGTAATACTCAACAAAGAAACTCCATTTCTGCATTACATTTAGGTTGTTTTGGGCTCTAATTGTTTGGCGTTAGTGAATTAAATATCAAAGTTGGACAAGGTTTATATGTACTGTAAATATTAATACCAATGGTATAACTGGAAAAATTAAAGCAGCTTTCAGACACACTGTCATTCTTGAATTATTCATCTCCTGCTTTAGGAGGACACAAGCATATCCTATAAAAAAAAGCTGTCTGTTCTTATGACAAAGGAAACAGAACAATTACATATATTAACATAACAGATTTTAAAACTTTAATTGTTGGGCTGTTTTAAGCAAGGCCTAGATTTGGAACAGAAGTGGTATCAATGAATGCGCTCATGTCAGCAGAGCCATATTCCTTCACCTGGACTTTACTGTAACATCCGGTACTACTGATAAAAGAGGTAAGTCAGTTTCTGAGAGGAAAACATTATATCATCACAGAAGCAAAAAAGAAATTTTGCAACCAAAATAAAGCAGAAAGCCATCTGCAGATGACTGCCTGCATTAAAATATGTTGTCAGTTAGCCACTAAGTGTGTGGACAGATCAGGAACGAGGTCCCAACAGTCACTCTGTTGCTAATGGCATGGAGTTAGCTCCACAGCGATACCTGGATTGTCCTCTATTCCCTGGAGCTGCTGAAGCAGCTTTTCCTGCCTCCTACACTTGCTTTTTGCTTCCTCCTCTTCCAGCAGTTGCTAGTGCTTTTTCCTTTTTACCCCTTTCTGGGGCTGATGTTGCCTCCTCACTCCCTCTTACCCCATGACAGAACTGCCATGAACCATGGAGGCAGCCAGTGAACACAGCTGAAGCCAGGCTGCTTCATAAGCTCAGACGCCTTCAGCACTGGAGCATCAGAACTGGGACCTCCTGTACGCACCCAGTGCCACTGCTATCCCCCATGGCAACACCCAGTGCGAGGGGACCTGAGCACTGCAAACCTGCAGTACTGTCGAATATGTTGGACATTTATTAACAATATTTAGTAACAGTTGGTAAACTGATAACTGAAAAATTACGGGAATATAAGATTCAGTTATCAGTTTTATCACTGACCTTGACCAAATTAATTATTTAATTAATTATTTATTTTTAGCTTGTTTTATTTCCATCAGGTGGAAGGGCAGAGTCAAGTCTTTAAACAATAAATTATTTTCAAAGTGCACTGTAGTCTGTCACCAAAAATGAATGACTACGTTGCATGAACACCACCACTAAGCACAACAGCAAAAGGATGAAAACAATTTCAAGTAAGGTAAGATATGATGTAAGCAGACAGCTGTACTGCTGATTCAAACTTGGGCATAAATCTACAGCTCTTTTAGGAGATCAGATTGCTTTGTTGAGATAATATACCTGATTTTGAACTATTTATTCAGAAGTTCAACTATTTAGTCAGTAGTTCTACTCTGAGTCAACACAGTCATATTAAACTGGTACAAAGTGAGCTCAGTCAATTCTTTAATTGCACAATACCCTGTGGAGCACCAATAAAATAGATTTTGAGTCTGCTGGCATACTTTTCAGGTTAGGAAATTATTTTTTATTTATAACTCATCACAGTGTTCTTAACTACTCAAGATTGCTCAGCACATTTTAGAGAGTATTCCTAAGAGGTCATTTGCCATAAAACTGATTCTAAGTTTAGTTTCTGTATCTTCCATAATTAACAGCACTCCTGAACAAACACAGAAAAGTAAAAATTAACAGACCTTCCTGTTTCTTTGCTTCTTCTAAGCTCCTCTTCACTATTAGTTTGATATCTTCATCCTCTTCGCTATCTGAACCTTAAATGCACAAATGAAACATAATTACACACTGCTTCTAATAAAAAAAGTCAACAGTCCTCTCTTGCATTTCTCTTACTGTAACAACATTGTAGGTTTCATCTGAAGAAATACGCTTGTCATGATCTGAAAATCAAGATAAAAATACATTATAGTGGTAGTTTAAGACAGTAACTCAAGAGACAGTTATTTTTCAGCTACCTTCCTCCCTTTCTCCCCAAAATCTAGAGGCAGATTGCTTCAATTTTGTATTATTTTAAAGCAGTAACAAGAAATAATAGATGCAGAAGCTACTCTTAGTGTCTACTGCATTTACTTTTTTGTAATACTCAGTTGCTAAAAAAAAAAAAAACACACCACCTTATTTTCTACAAAATATATCAAGGATTTAACTATGGGAAGAAGTGCTATAGTGTGTGTCTGCCTACACATGATCTTAGCTGTATTTTGTTGCCTAAATATTCCATTTGAACAACAGAGTGCTGTATCTCAACTGAGCAGCGCAATTCAGCAGATGTTGTTCAAGTCTCACAGAAGAAAAAAGTCAATAGACTTCGTTTAATCTGCTAACTCATCATAGCCAAGCCCAGCCAAAACTCTACCACCTCTCCCTTTCTAAATAATGCTCTTCATGAGGCTGGTTTCCAGCTCCAGAATGACAGCTGTATTTTGAAGTGTCTAGTAGGGATTGGTGTACCTAAGGTGTTTTTTTTTTTTTTTTTTCCCCTTCATTTGTTTTAAATAGAGTCTTGGTAAACTACAGGTTAAAGAATAAACAAGTCAATGAGTCACATTATGTATTCATTCTCCTGCTATAGGCTATTGCTATTTCGGGAGATGGTTTCTGTAATGGTGTCTTACAGTATTTGCAATCAACTAGGTCTCCTACGGTCATATTAACAGAGGCACTTCCCTTAAAGTCATCGCATTTATTAGTACACCAATGTACTTCTGATTACATTTACTGGCAAAGAACATTCTGATATGGACATCTAATTTACTGAGTGTGTGACTTCTGGCATTTTAAATCACCCAAGTTAGATATTCAGAGTGACAGGTACAATTTCTAAAATTTGTTTTCAAGCCTCTGACACATACACCTTGTTTGAACAGCAACATTGGTGACTTTCCCAATGCCAGGAATACAAACTCCAACAGATGGTATCAAACAGAGATCAGGAGCCTACAATGATGCCAGAAATATCTGGACATACAGTCCAGTTAAAATGGTCTTTCTCCAGTCACTTGGCAGACTGACTGTGAATCCTTGCTGGAGCTGTCTACTATCTCTGGGCGGAAGAGATACTATTTTTTACATCATATTCCAAAGCAAACAACGCAAAAGAAAGAAAACTCCACACAACCCAAAAAATGTTACTACAATCATGTATGAAAGGGAGGAAAAAGTGCAAAGAAAAGGCTTTGCACAAGTGGTGTCTCCCTTATTAACCATCCTTTTAGTCTTCCAGGTGGGAAGACATCTCAGACTGCTCTAAAAGGTTTTGTACCTGTTAGAGGTGTAACAGTTGGAGCAATCATTCCCGAACTCATTTCTTTGCATAAGTATAATGGAAGAACTGAGCTCCTGTGAGCAGTAAGGCATAGTACAAGAGGGTCTCTGATTTGCTACTATTTCAAATAAAAATGCATTAAGAGCACTTTTCTGAAGGTTTGTGAGGGCAAACAGGCAAGACAATATTCTTCTGATTGGCATCTCGCATAGATGGTTAAACAGCAGAGTAGTCAGAAATCCAGGAGTTTTTCAGGTATCATCTAAAGAAGTCAGCTTTCCTGGAACTGGTTATAGAGTCAGTCAGCGTTCACCACAGAGGCAGCCATGACGGCAACTCACTGACAGGCTGTCAGAGGACAGCACTTTCCTGCTTACGCCTGGCTTTCCCAACCCAGGCAACAGGTCAACTTGATGCCCATTTTTCAGAATACAACAGATCAGCAATTAAGTTGACTTTGCTGTCCATTAGGACAGTTATGAATTCTAAAACAGGATTTGTAGATAGCATTATTATTTAGTTCATTAAGAAAGTTTAGGATTCATCTTAGGTGTTAGTGCAGGCCTCATCTTGCTGAAATGTTTTGCTAGTCATACCACCTTAATCACACCGCTGTAATAACATGGGGTACACATTCATATTGGAACAGAGGTGTATGCAAACTGGCATGCAAAACATTTAAACATTTTTAAAACAAGCTGCCTGCCCCATGATTTATCACTGCACTCGATATGCAATAACTAAATACTAGTTGATAGTTATAACATCACAGAGAACAGGTTTGCTTAAAGCATAGTTCAAGACAACACCATTCCACTGCCAGAAACTATGAAACTTGAAAACAATTAGTACTGATGATCTTCTGTTAGTTTGAGGGGGAAAAAAAAAATCAGCTCAGAGTCAAATGTGGTTATGAAGCATGTTAAAAGTCTCATGAGCTACCCTCTGCCTTCACTGGTCATTATTTGCAAGACTTCTCTCCCCTTTACCTAACTGTATTAACGCACATTCAACTTCCCACGAAGGAAGTTGCTGGATTCTCTCAAATCCTTGAGCTGATGAAAGTTAACCTATTAAGAGGCTAACAAAGAGCCAAATCTTATTTAGGAGGTTTTCAGGCAAAGGCTTATCAGTATCTCAAGTTATACTAAGACTTTCCATACCCAAAACCAAAAATACGGTTCTGCTTGTCCTCAGTGTTGCCCCTTGCCCCCATCCTCCCCAATTGTACACAGAGCAGAGACTAAACGCACAAAAGCAGTAAAGATGAGAATTTTAAGATGCTCTGATATGGCTCTATGGGAATTAGGAATAAGACTGTAACAGTCAGAAGAAAAGCCATCTCCAGGCAAAAATCCTAGGCAGAAATGCTCCAACAAATAAAGGGGTAGGAGGCAGGAATCCAGCTCCCTTTAGGGGCTAGACAGCAAGAACTATTAGTGTGGAACTCACCACTTGTCAACCAAAGAGAAGGAAAGGCCAACTGATTGAACAGATACATTTTCAAGTCAGAAGACACCAGGCTGCTTTTCCACATGGGACAGGTCATTGTGCTTGATGCAGTGTTGCTCGTAGTGTGTCTGCACCCTCTGACTGAACTCTGCTCTCAAGGAGATCTTTGATTCCAGTTAAGAATATACTTGGTGCAAATATCACAGAAGGGCTGAGGTTGGAAGGGACCTCTGGAGATCATCTTGTCCAGCCCCCCTGCTCAAGCAGGATCACCTAGGGCTGGCTGCCCAGGACTATGCCCAGATGGCTTTTGAGTATTACCAAAAAGATACTGTACTGGGGAGCTCAGAACTTGACAGTTATGGCGTTACTGGTGCTGAGTAGAGGGAAAGGACCACCTCTCTCAACCTGCCGGCAAGAGGCCTCCTAAGGCAGCCCAGGGTACTGCTGGCTGCCTTAGCCATGAGAGCACATTGCTGGCTCATGTCAACTTGGTGTCCACCAGGACCCCCAGGTCCTTTTCTGCAAAGCTGTTTAGGTGACCCCTGCTCAACATATATCTGTGCTTGGGGTTGTTCTTCCCCAGGTGCAGGACTTTGCACTTCTTGATGAACTTCATGAGGTTCCTGTCAGACCATTTCTCCCCTGTCAAGGTTCCTCTGGATGGCAGCACAACCCTCTGCTGCATCAGTTGCCACTCCTCATTTTGTGTAATCAGCAAACCTGCTGAGGGTACACTCTGCCCCACCATCTAGGTCATTAATGAAGACATTAAACAGGACCAGACCATTGACGCCTGGGGTACACAGCTGGTTTCTGGCCTCCAACTGGACTTCATGCCACCGATCATCATATTCGGGTCTGGCCATTCAGCCAGTTTTCAATCCACCTCACCGTTTGCTCATCCAGCCCACACTTCATCAGCATATACTCCTGGTACTGCTGCCATCTTCTTCTGATGAAGAATAAATGAGAATGTTTAATTTGGAGAAATCAGGCATGTCCTGTCTCACTTGTTAAAATGCTTAGCACGTTCTGTAGCTCCCAACTCCTCTGGGGTCAGAGGAAAAGCAACTGCCCAGATTCTCAGCCGAGAGATCTTAAGATATGGCTTCTTCTCTAGCATATTTTGTTAAATAAACAACAGCTAAGAAACTGTGACCATAGCTATTCTCTCAAAGAAATCCTACTGCTCACTATTGTCCTCGTGTATTGTCAAATTTGCTTAGCACGTTCTGTAGCTCCCAACTCCTCTGGGGTCAGAGGAAAAGCAACTGCCCAGATTCTCAGCCGAGAGATCTTAAGATATGGCTTCTTCTCTAGCATATTTTGTTAAATAAACAACAGCTAAGAAACTGTGACCATAGCTATTCTCTCAAAGAAATCCTACTGCTCACTATTGTCCTCGTGTATTGTCAAATTCCTGCTAATGCAAATTCTGGATGAATATAGAGCTCAGAGATCAGAAAGATTAACCCTACAGATGGGAGCAAATATAGTGATTTTTTTTGACATTTCATGAATCTCTCACAGAAAGCTATTCTGGGAACAGACTGGCAAGCTTTCACAGAATGCAAGCGCCACCCACTGTCCTGACATCAAAGTGCCACAACTTGAATTTGCATGAACTGCCCACATGGCTCAGCAAAATTCCCTCCCTACAGTTGATCCTCTTCTCTTGCAACCTCCCTAGTTCCACCATCCCCTTAATAGTTTCATCAAGTTTACCGGTTCCTCTGTCTCACCAGAGACTCGACTTCCCTTTCCCAGCCGTAGTCCTCCTCCCTTGCCACACAACTTCTTAACACACCTCCTGACTACTTCAGTGTGCAGTCTCACACCCTACCTCCACTTCTCTTCTCCTACAATGCTCCTTCTCTTAGTCTTTTCAGTAACTCCCAATCTCATCTGCCTCTTTCCCATCCCAATGTACGGTGACATTAATATCACACTTAACTCACTGTCTCTCCAACCACTGACCCTTTTCCTTTTACAACTGACATCTGAAGTTTTATTGCTACCTCAACCTTAAGGATA